CCGCCGGGATGGCCTGGAGGACAGCCCGGATCTGGACCTCGCATTCGCTGACGGCCTGCCCAATGGCTTGCGAGGCTACGGGGCCGGGAGCGGTGACCTCTCCAATGCAAACCAGCGGAACCATACCTTGTGCACATGCGGCGGCAGCTTTGAGGCCAGTCTGGTCATCTGTCTCACCAAAGATGGCGCGGCGTTCTGCATGGCCAAGTTCGACAATGGACACCCCCATCGAGCGGAGCGCCAGCGGCGAGACTTCTCCGGTGTAGGCGCCGAGGGGCTCCCAGAAGCAATCCTGAGCCCCAAGCAGGAATGGAGCCGGCAGTGAAGGGGTGTCATCCTTCGGTAGAGTGGATTCCCATGCCTTGATAATTTCCGCACAGGGGTAGACAGTCAGAAAGTCGGGGATGAGGGCTAGCAGCAGCTTGGAGCGGTTCTCCGGGCGGACAATATCATTTTTGGGGTCGAGCAGGGCCCGGCAGTAGTCGAGCGTACGGGTGGGTGTGAAGTACATCTTCAACGAGATGATGAGCAGGTTCTTTGGGAGAACCGGATAGGCTTGCTGGGACGCCATGTTGGGTGACTTGAGGCACCGGTGTAATGAAGGGATGGGACCGGTGAATGACGGTCCTCTCGAAAGTGATTTCCGTAGCAATCAGAACACGATCAACCGGTCTCCACTGGTATAGACTGGCCAAACGAGGTTAGTTGTCTGAAACCTGAGACTATGAAACTCCACTGTGATAATGAGGGCACCCACTCGAGCGTAGAGTAGTGTGTTGATGAACCTGATGTGGAAGGATATTGTGTGATGGCTGCTGGGTCTGAGATTCGATCGAAAGCTTTAGAATCGAGAGAGGCTGGGTTAGCGTAACGGAAATAGCTCAGGGAGGAGACAAGGGAGGGTAAAGAGGGGCGGTGCCAATCAGTCGACCACGGAGTTAGTAGCCATGCTGTGCCGCGGACAATTTCATTGGGGCCTAGTTTAGCATGCAACCGGTATCCCTTTCACAGTTTAGTGTTAGGAGGGAAAAAGAGGAGACACGATGATCGGCCCACGCGAGGTGCATCTGCCATCTCCATCCGCTGAGGTCAGCACCGCCGTGGGAAACCTGGGGAAATGGTGGGTGATTAGTGTGGTATTTTAAGAACCTTGATACTCTATCAGATGTTGTCGGGAAGGGATGAATTAACAGTAGGGGAGCAGAAAAAAGTACGAGGGGTACAAGCCACACTCTGCACATTAGAGAGAAGGCTTGAATGAGAAGGTGGGAATAACGCGAGTCGGGCGAGGGAATCAAAACACACGCAAGAATCTCGGCTTGCAGGACAGCAGAGCCTGCCTGATTGAGACATTGAATGGAAAGATACAGAATCGACCGGAAATGAAGTTGTCCCCAAAGACAGCTTCCGACTGGTCCGCTTAGACCTCATCGGTTTTCCGTGATACAGTAAGTTACCCGGGGGTTTCTGGATACCCTGGAAACGGTATGACTTGTCACTTTCCATCGATCGGACGTCAGCGGGCCACCAATAGTAACTAAAGTCCTATCAGAAGCCAGTAAAACACTAGTCGAGTGGGGATGGTGGGAAGTGGTGGGGCTTGCAGTTGTAACCTCGTTTGGAATTCCGAGAGCCCAGCCTGGACTGTTTTGAGTATCTTGCAAAGAACAACATTACTCGAGGTATGTATGGTCTGTATTAATCACTCAAAAGAGACAACCTTTGGGGGTTGATTGTGGTGCGTGGATGGTGAGAGAACAAGGCAGAGCAACAGCCAAAATTTGGTGAATCTCAAGTTTGGACGTTGGAACGCGTCAATGGTGTAAACTGAACTACCACCATTCGAAAGTAAACCAGCCTAATTCCACTTACTTACTTGGGGGGAGTTAGTTCTACTTTCTTCCCGTGAACTGACTGGTTTGGATTAGACTATCTGTAGCGGGCTAAAAGCCCATGCGCTTTGATACGGATTGGATCCTCCACTTGCTGTTCGCTGCCTGCCGTGGCCCGTCGACCCCAGAATAATCCTGCGACAACAACGGCAGAGTTAGTATACAAGATAGTAGAATGGCTGAGATTGAGCCTCCTACGGGCATGCCACATGAGCCATTCTCAGACCAACGGACTTATCCTTTGACTTGTTATTCTGGTGACAAGGGGACTATGCATGCCGTTGCTGTTGCTGTGTGTTTAGTATCCTATCTTCGTCTAAGATAGTCTACTGTCAATCCCACGTCTATCACAGAACCGATTGCAACTCACTCCGAGCTAAGGTGCCTCGGAATTAATACAACACCGATGCTATCCCGGATGAGCCCACACTCATTCCCGCCCCCTCTTCTTCATCTCGGTATACTTCTATGTATTGGGCAGTTGCCCAGAGAAATCTGAATCCGCGCCAAAGAATGCCTGTATAGGCTTCCTGAATAGGCCAAGTAGGCCGATAATAGTGCGCGGGCATGCAGTTCCCCCTCTCCCCCAACCCGGTTAGCTTGGCCGCGGACCTGACCAGTTACCAAACTTCCAAGACATCCAACAAGGGGGGGAAGAAGGATGGAGGAGAATCCCGGGGCAATCTGGAGTCGGTTCCGAATGGTGATGCAACAGAACCGAAAGGGAAGAAGAAAAAGGAGGAGAACGAAGGGCGGGCTGACATCATTCGGCTGAGCGGGATGGAACTATTCCCGGTGAACTTCACCGTAGAGATTAAGTCGGAAGAGAAGATATTCAGTAGATGATAGTCCCGTACTGTAGACAGTCATGCCAGTATGGCTGTCACTGGCTGAATATCCTCCTAATCTGTCCGAAAGGGTTCACCAATCCGGGCTCAATGCTATTGGTTCCGCTTGCAGGCAGTCGCAGCAAAACAACCTTTGAGAAGTGTAAGAATGCATGACGCCATGAGTGGATCTGCCAGAACCAAACATGGTCCGGCCCAAAACCGGCTTCTCTGGATCGCCTCCAGCTGTGGGGGGTGCGCAAACTAGTGTCCATCGCTGCTGTCGCGCATGAAGCACGAGAAAAAAAAAAAGCATGAGGGATAATCAGTGCTGGTTCGTAACGGCCATTGGGACATGCGTGTCACCAAAACCGAATTGGCGTCTACCACCGAACTTTGGGTCCAGGAGGCACGGCATGGCCTTTCTCTCCCCACTGCATCGGACCTTTCGATCGGAAAGTACTTTGGAGAATGGAGGGGAACAATAGGAGGGGAGAGGGAGAAGGTGAGCTGGACAAAAAGGTATAAAAAGGTCCTTGTCTTCCATCTTCAATCCTCTCTTTCATCACTATTCCATCATCATTTCTATCTACTTCAAGCCACAGTCACTTGTCTGGGACTTCACGCTCCACTCACTACCAATACTTCCTTGAATCCATCTACTTCCTTCCACACTTTTCACCATGTCCGCCGATCTGAAGCCCCTCCGCATCGTCATGGCCTGCGATGAGGCCGGCCAGCCCTACAAAGAGACCCTGAAGGCTGCTCTTGAGAAGAACCCTCTGGTTGAGTCCATCCAAGATGTGGGCGTCAACTCCACCTCCGACAAGACTGCTTACCCTCACCCGGCTGTCGCTGGTGCCAAACTCATCAAGGAGGGCAAGGCAGACCGCGGTCTCTTCATCTGCGGTACTGGTCTCGGTGTCGCCATCTCCGCCAACAAGGTGCCCGGCATTCGCGCCGTGACAGCACACGACTCCTTCTCCGTCGAGCGCTCTATCCTTAGCAACGACGCCCAGGTGCTCTGCTTTGGCCAGCGCGTTATTGGCATTGAGCTTGCGAAGAAGCTCGCCAACGAGTGGGTGACCTACCGCTTCGACCCCAAGAGTGCCTCCGCCGCCAAGGTGCAGGCCATCTCCGACTACGAGAAGGAACTCGCCGGTACTGCTTAAGTTGGATTTGTCTGTCTGTCAGTCAGTCAACCCAGTCAATCCAGTACTACGATGTTCCTTGTCCGTGCGGCATGACATGAACACCAGCCACACCGAAGTAGCAGCGGCAGCGCCATAATCTCCGGCGTGTTACTATAAACTATAGCTTCCTTTCATCACTTATTTTTTTGGGCGAAGCAATCTGGTACGGCTGGATCCGGGCCTTTCCCTTCTAATATCCGACGAGTCAACGATACCACGAGTGTACGGAATGATTTGGCCGGCCAATCTTTCATTAGAGCAGTAGGTAGAAAAATATACTACATTGCTCGAATTGTCTTCTATTTTGTAGACGATTGTCTATATCATCACAAGAATCATTGTAGTCAATCGAGTAACTCTACCGCAAACCCAGTATGGCAATGCAATGCAATTGCTAAATCTCTCTCTCCCCAACATTTGCTGCCCACTCACAACTGCTGACTCATCTGGATTCTGCGGGGATCGATCACCTTCGATTGCTCAACCCACGTCTTTTTCCACTGCACAGGAACAGGCATAAAATCGATGAAACATCAATTGATAAAGATGGAGAACCCAACGTGCCGTCCCGACACCAGGGCTGTGTGGATCACGACTGAAAGCTCACCCGAGTTCATCAATTTCATTCCTGACTGAACCTCCAACAAGGATCTCAGGTCCCAAGAGGGGTAGCTGAACAACAGTACTACTTACCTGGATACTTATACTGGTGGATTGACCAGGTTATCCATGCTCTCGCGGCATCAATCCTCCATTGCGACTATCATCAATCATCCCACTGCATTGAAATCCACTCCACATCCACTATCCGCTAGACAGAACGGATAGATTCCCTAGCACATCCAGTCACCATCTACCTCCCTCAACAACAGTGGAGATCACTGCGCAGCCCCACACATCCGACATCCGAAGCGTTGTTTCTTCGTTCCTTTCATTCGTTCCTTTCGTTCGTTCTTTCCAGCTGACAAAACACAATCGTCACGGAAACAAAAAAAGGGGAGAATCCCGTTGTCATTTACAGCACAAATCAGTGGGCGCACACAACACATCAGCGCACACTCCACACCACACCTCACATCATAGCAAACATGGCACTCGAACTAAAAGAAAAGGGCAACCAGCTCTTTAAAGAAGGCGATTACAATGGCGCCGAGGAGATGTATTCACAAGCGTGAGCATATATCCCACTTACCCCGCTATACACATCCACCACCCCCCAAATGAAATAAATCTAAAAACTCCTACTAAAAACCAATCGGATATCTACAATAAATAGAATCCTCAAGAATCCCAAAGAACCCACCTTCTTCTCCAACCGCGCCCTGACCCGCATCCGACTTGAAAACTGGGCCGGAGTCGAGCACGACGCCCGCGCCGCCATCGATCTCTACGGCGCCAAATCCCCCACCAGTTTGAAATCCTCCTGGTACCTGGCACAAGCGCTGTTGGGTCTGCAACGGCCTCAGGAAGCATACGACGTAGCCATTGAGGCGTATAAGGCGAGTCTGGCGGCGAAGAACATCCAGACGGAGAATTTGTCGCGGACGGTGTTGCGCGCTAAGCAGGCGATTTGGGCGGCCAAGGAGACGGCGCGGATAAGGGAGTTGGATGAGACGTTGGCGAGTGTGGAGGGGCTGATTGAGGCGGAGGTGGAGAGGGGGGTATCGGAGTTGAAGGCGCGGTTGGAGAAGGGGGAGATTGGGGAAATTGGGTTCAGAGAGGATGAGAGGGAGATTAGAGAGGATGCTGAACGGAAGGTGCAGAGGGTGAGGGAGGTGTTTGGGATTGCGTCGGAGGGGAAGGTGGTCGAGAGGGTAAGTTCATCTGAAAGTTCCTTTTGTGAGTTGCTGGTGGGTTGTGCTGATGATATGGTGTAGGTTGTGCCTGATTATCTGGTGGATGGAATTACGTTTGAGATTATGCATGATCCTGTTATTACACCTTCTGGGACCAGCTTTGACCGGGTCGGCATCACCAAGTACGTGGAGCAGGCCAAGGTTGATCCTATCACGCGGGTGCCGATGACAGTGAACGATCTTCGGCCGAATTATGCGTTGAAGGCAGCGTGTGAGGAGTTCTTGGATAAGAATGGGTGGGCGGTGGATTGGTGATTGCTTGCAAATATAGTATGATTAGCATGGCGTTGGTAGTAGACTACTTGATACCATTAACAGGACATATGCTTGTATACTATGATTTAGAGTAATGCAGTGTATACTAGTTATTCCATATTTAATTGACAGATGATGAATTACTGTACGTGTGTTTATGCGTAGTCTTTCTCCTAGTTGGAAGGTCACCTTCCTTTCATCCATCTTGATTACCAGTCTTTCTGTTTTCAGACCTAGCATGCGGTGTCAACGCCAGACAGGCAATATTCAATATTAGTACTTATCCCTAGCATGACCACTCATAACTACTCGAGGTTATCAACACCCACATAACGAACTACTTTGGTATTGACATTGGAAATATATCTCTTAGAACAACGCAATATATTCAGCGCCCCGCCAACCAACAAGAAACACCCCGTAATCAAGACCTGCGCTTTACCATCCTGCTGTGCAGTGATACTCCTTGCTGTGTCAATCGCTTCTTCAATGGTCTCCTTAGTCGAGACTGAACTCGTGCCTTGAGGAACGGTAGCTTTCCATTTTTCAGCGAACAAAGATAGCACGCTAAGATCTGGGAGGGTGGTTGGGAGTATATCTTTCATTTTATTACATCTCTAGTTAGTGAGAAATAAGATAGAGAAGTGATTATGATCCTCACCTTTATCCAACTTTTCAATTTGAGATTTGTCTGCTCGTTCAATGTAAGTAGTGAAGATAACATGATCTGGCAGTGCGTCTTGCTCAACAAGAGATTCTGCTAAGCATTTTAGAAGCGCTAGGCCGTCTCGGTCTTTGGAGAAGTGGCTGAATATTAGGATTCGGTGCATGTATAAATAGTTCATTTGGGTAAGTTGATTGGTTAGTTTACTGGGATAGGGAATATACTGACGTTTGCTCCGCAGACCTCTTGGTAATATCCGAGAACCACTCCGCCGTTTTCTCTAGACTAAGCGTGTTGTGTGCGCCGTCTACGAACCATTGTGATTGTCCGTCTGGGTCATTGATGATTTCGAATCTTCCGATTAGGGAGATGTCCTCCATAGCGGTAGATATGTCCGCGGGCTCGATTACATGGTCGGGTGCTTTGGCTTGCAAGAATGTCCTGGCTAGCTCGAGGGCGAGGGAGCAATTTAGTCGCTGGACGGGGATCCCCAATACACTACTGTCAGTGGGGAGATCAGGATTTAGCGGGATTATAGTCAATGAAGTATTCTTCTCCGCGGCACGAGCGTGCAATACCTCCAAAGGACTATCGTCCTGCGGAACAGATAATGCAGGTGCACCTGGTTTGAATATTCCCGATTTATGCCATGCAATGGAGTCGACGGTAGGGCCGAGCTGGTCAAGATGGTCCAGCCCTAGGGAAGTGATACCGGTGACCACGGGGTTCTGGATGACGTTGGTAGCGTCGAATTCACCACCCTGGTGGACTTCGATTATTGCAGCGTCGACGTTCTCTCGGATGAAAGTGTGAAAAGCGAGCAGGGCGAGAAATTGCAGGTAGCGAGGTGGCTGCTGTGTTGTGTCTGCTTTTCGGATGTTGGTCTCCATAAGCGTGTCCCAGACTTCGAAGAAGTATTTTGTGAATAGGTTCTCCGTTACGGGATTGCTGTTAATTTGGATTCTTTCTCGAATGCATTGTATGTGAGGCGAGGTGTAGAGACCGATTTTACTGGGGAAGCCGGTTCTCAACCCATGTGCATGGAGAATAGAACGGGTGAACTCGCATGTGCTGCCTTTGCCTTTTGTTCCGGTGACGTGGATTATGTTTAGACGAGATATATCTGTGTCCTGTATCTAGTAAGTAAGCTCATTCTCTCTGTAACAGGTAGAGAACCTACCGAATGTCCGAGAGTCTGTAGCCACTCGCTCATTCCATACAGACATGGAATACCTCGCACGGTTGGAGTGACATTTGCTGGGATTTGCTCTGTCTGTACAGAAGGGTTGGTCCTGGGTCGGGCGCGACGTCTGCGCGTTTCCAGGAGTCTGAGGGCATTCTGCTACGAGGTTAGAAGCAGTAGATGAATTCAAGATGGCAGACAGCATACCTCGTAAGTACGAGTGATTTTGTTCTTGGAATCGACAGCCAACATTGGAATGTACTTTTTCTCAATCACCGGGGGTTGTTCTTTGACTATGTCAAGCGTATGTCTGAGTTCGCTGATTCATGAAGTCATCCAAAGACTGCTGGGGGTTATCGGGGGTGACGTTGCATCCAGACAAGGCGAGTCCGCGGAGGTATTCATTGAGCAGTTGGTCATGATAAAGGAGCTTTGTCCGGGACTTCACAAGTACATCTAGTTAATAATGAGTGAAGTTCCAAGCATTGAATATAGACTCTCTTGCCTAGCCCGCAGAGCAGTTGGCATAGATGATCCATGACTCCTGGTGATCTTACTGGAGTGCATTGAAAGTTAGCATTTCAGCATAAAGACGAACACAATAATGAGAAAATAAACACAAAGAATTGTGTAAAACTGCAAATTGTCCTACAAATTAGCATAAAGCTTTGAAAATAGCAAGAAAGAACCTCAATGCTAAGCTATGTAGCTGATATGCACCAAAGCTCCCATTCTAACATATCCAGAAACCCTAGCACTCAACAGTTGAGCCAACAACATCCCATCAAGTAAGCACCAAAACATGAAACAACAAATCAGACAATAACCACATAAAAACAAAATCCCATACTATTGCAATGATCAACAAATAGTCAAATAGTATTGAGTAGATAGTACTATAAGTTGAATAACTAGTAGTAAGTAGTCACCTGAGAAAGATAGTCTAACCAATAACCCGCCGAGTACAGCTCCCCCACCAAATCAACAAATCCCCCCCACTTTCCCTCAACTCACTCATTCTTCTTCCCCTCTTCATCCGCCATATTTACCTACTACCCCTCCAACCCCAACTCCAAACCAAACTCCATCAACTCCTCCCACCAAACAAACCCACACAGCCAAAATGTCCGTCCCCAACTTCTCCGCCGCCCTCGACGCCTCCATCAAGAAGGAGAAGTTCACCCCCGAGGTCCAGGCCGCCGCTGCCAAGGTCGACAGCTCCGTCTTCTCCGACGCCATCAAGGCCGTCCTTGGTGGTGATGACACCGCCACCGTTGAGGGCGAGCAGGCTGTTGCCCTGAAGAACGCTTTCGAGTTTGCTGTTGCTGTTGTCAAGATGCTGAAATCGGAGCCTGGTAATGAGGATAAGTTGGCGGTGAGTATCCCCCCTGCCCCTCCATCTATGGATCGATATCTTTGGAGGGAGGGGAATGAATCTGAGAAAGATGAAGTTGAGAGGGTATATGCTAATGTGTTCTCTCTGTGTGTAGCTCTACAAGTACTTCAAGCGCGGCAACAACCAGACTCCTGCTTCTCCTGGCATGTTCGATATCCAGGTATGGATTTCCTTCTATTTTCTCTCCGCTCCTCTGTATAAGTGTGAGACTAATATATCTGGTATGATGGTATAGGGCAAGTACAAGTACAACGCATGGAATGAAATCAAGCACATCAGCGAGGCCAAGGCCCAGGCCGAGTACATCAAGCAGGTTGACACTCTGATTGAGAAGATTGGAACGAGGGAGTAGATTATAAAACCTAAACCTACAAGATCATATATGAAAGGGATATCATGTGGTGGATGCATTGTCTATTAGCAAGATGAGATGAGTTATGAGCTACTTACTACTCAACCAACTTACTGGCTATTGAGCTGCTTGCATAGTCATTGTTGATTCTTGAGATATTAATATGGGGATGGATGGTATATGGAAAGGATGAGGATAGGATCGGTTAAGCCTCCCACGTTTGACCCAGCCAGTCCGGCTCGCTATGACTGGCCGTCGCGCACCAGGGTATATCCGTCTCGCTGTACCTCGTCAATGGTAGGTCGTACGGCATTCGAAAGCCAACTGTAGTCGTAGTAGGTATTTCTTTTACATCTGCATTTGCAGTCGCACCTGCAGCCGCAACCGCATCTGCATCGGGCATATCCCTCCGGAAGCAAGGCACCATTACGCTTCTCCCTCCAGCACCAGCACCGGCGACTAACTCCGGCCACACCACAACCCCTATCTCCCAACTACATATCCTTACCTCCCCGTTAGCATTCACCGCCGCTCCCCACGCCTGCGTCGATAGATTCGCCGACGTCACCATCGCCCAATCAATCCGGTCCATCTCCGACGACGAGTACCGGATATACGTCTTGATATGCGGTGCTGCGCGACGACGTCCTGCTTCTCTTTTCACCTTCACCTCGTCCTCGGCAACATCCCCAGCCCAATGACACAGATAGGGCCGCATGTACTGCAGCTGTTTCTGTTGCGCTGCGCTTTGCAGCTTCATGTGGATGGAGCCGCCGGAGCCGTAGCCGTTCAAGGAGCGGCGGATTTCGTCGGGTGTGGGGAATATGATGGAGAATCTGGGTTTGGGGGTATTTGATGAGGGTGATAGGGACGTGAAGAAGACGTCTTTAAGCCACTTGTCTGTTTGTCCGAGAGAGGCGACGGAGGATATCTACACCTCGTTAGTAGAGATCCCATAGGCAGTCCCAATGATAGAATCAACCTACCTGAGTTACAACATGCGGTCTATCCTCTGAACGATCAATAGGAACCGACCGCAAAACATCCCTCAGAGCTAGCCATCCCCACAGCGTCTTCCGTGTCGAATCAGTCGACTCCCGAATCTTCTGTTTCGAGGGAACACTAGCGACCAACGCCGCGCGGACAGCGCTGAAGTCGTGTTTCTCTAGCTGCGCGACAAGCGGGCCGGTTTTCTTCGGTCCGTATTCTCTTAAATAAGAGAGAAGGTCACGTTTGAATCGTGTCCCGGGGGTATCTATACTTTCACTCCCACTTCCATTTCCATTGGAACATAATGGGAGTAGAGGAGATCGCCACACGGCCTGGCACATATTTGCCCAGTCGCCTGCGATCATGTTTGCCGTGTGGATGACCACTCTGTACTCATGCATTAGCTTCGTTAGACTCATAGGTGGAGATTGGAGATACATACTGAGCCAAATCATCATGTCTCAACAAGATCATCATCTTGGAATGATGCGTCCCGAACGCTTCGGGCATGTAGGCGGTTATTGCTTCGACGTTGGGGTGGCGCGTACATGCTTCCTATCTATATTATTAGGACCGTCTCATCACACATGTATTCAGATCATATAAGTCAAGATGAAAAGAAAATAATGAAGACAGTGGACCTACATCAATCCTCTGCCGATTCGGGGCATCTCTCTTCCACGAGCCATGCACAACCTTCACCTTGACAAGCCGTCTCACATCCTCATCAAACTGGCTCATCAAAAAATCCACATCAAAGAGGTAATTGAATTGCCAGCATTCGCGGATCAATGGATCGCCGAGAATGTCGCGCAGTCGGACGGTGTCGGTGTTGTGGCCTGAGGAGGCGGGGAGGTCCCGGATGTGGGTTAGTTGGATGGGAGAGGGGATTATATTGTCCTTTTCTGATTCAGCATCATTCTCCTTTTTCGTGGTCTGCGTGCTGGGTGATGCTGGGTGGGTGGCATTGTGTTCTGGTTGTGGTTGTGGCGGTGGTTTTGGTCCCTTGGAGCGGGAGAGTATTGGGGGTGTTATGGAGCGATGCAGGGATGCTAGGGGGTGGTTGTTACTGTCATTGCTGCTGCTGTTGGTCCTTTGGGTAGAGTCATTGTCTGCATGGTCTATGTTGGGGGACAGCTTGGCCCTCTTGGCTGGCAGGTCTGGTTCTTCCATGTTGCGGTTGAGGTGTGGTACACTGGTGAGAGAGTGGTGAGGAAGATGCGGTAGCGGATAGCATACCGGTTACATCTGGATATCGCTAAACATCATACGTAGAAAGCTTACTTCACAACCACGAAAATATTGAGATCTATATATAACTATTACTACACTATTATACACTATACACTTTTACAAGTCTACCACATGAACCGCTGGATCTTTCCCGGTTCCTGGGGCCATTCAAACCCGCAGTACAGGAAGATGTATCCCGTCACCGCGTTGATCACCAAGAACCAATACGTCTCCAGGAACAGTGCCATATTCGTGGCGACCTTCGCATTCAGCTCCTCGGTCGCATCGCGCCCCCGCTGCCGGTGCACGAGAGGCGTCGGCTGCGGTGGCAGATGCAGCCGCCACATCACCCACGGAATGATAAAGTAGCGCGGCTCGACGAGCGGCGCCGTAATGAGCGACAGTGCCGTGGCCGCCAGCCAGACAAGCACAAAGCTCACCTGCGGCGTACCCTGATGCTGCTTCTGCCGGTGCGCAATGTGCTCCTGGATCTTGGCGTACGCATCGAATGAAATCGGCTCCGGCTTGGGCGACTGTGCGGGCTTCTTTGCTGCCTTCCGACGTTCGGCCTTCTTCTGGCTGGGCTCTTTCTGAGGTACTGGCACTGGCTCCGGCTGGCGGGCTGCCGTCTGCGGGACACGCATCAACTGGGGAGGCGTAGAAATCGTTGTGAATCCAAAGGCGGAGATGACCATCCACGCACAGAGGAAGTACACCGCGACAGCAGCATACTTGATAGCAGGGTGAATGCGCAGCAGGATACGGAAGACGTAGAAGACATAGTGACGGTTGTCAGCAAGGGTGAAAGGATGGACGATGGTGTTGAAGTGGACCACAGCCAGCATAATGGGGATAACAACAAGAGCCGTCAACAGCTTAGGGAGGCCCTTTTGCTTCTTCGGGAAGCCAAAGTCGATGAACTTGGGCAGAAGCGACTTCGGGAAAACCAAGTTGACGACCGGCGAGAGCAGAAGAGGCCACGAAAAGAAGACGAAGTAGGGCCAGATGTAGAGCATCTGGGGCAGATGCAGCCCAGCAGTATGATACTCCTTGTGTCCTGCAGCTGTCAGCCTAGCACTTACAACACGACCAATAGACCTACCAAGAACAACACCATCATTCCACAGCACGAAGCCGCCAAACCCGGCAAGTATGAGCAAGTACGGAATAGCAGAGCTAACCACCGAGCCGAGGTTGTTCAGGGCAACAACCACCAGCGAAACAGACGCCTTGAAGTAGTCTATCCCAGTCAGCAATGCCATCAACACATCACAAAGACAATACTAACCTTCAATCGAAGCATCCGAAACAAACGGATCATACAGCTCATTCTTCCATCCCGCCCGAGCAATATCCGCGAATCCCGACGCCTCGCATCTCTTAGAGGACAACCTCAACCGCCGCACGACCTGCAGTCCACCCAGGAAGATCGCCACCCAGAAGATGTTCGTCTGTCTGAAGACCAGCGCCACCAGCCCCAGCACGACAAACACCAGCGTCGAGAGCGGCGCAAACCCACCCTCCGACGAGCGTTTCAGGTCCCAGTTGTACGCCTCAATGACAACCAGCAGCGCAAGAATATCGGTGTAGTATAGGCCGGAGAAGAAGAACAGCGGCGGGAAGAGGCAGATGTTCAAAACCGTATGGCTCAGCCATGCCCCAGAGGGACGTGTGTTGCGCACCCTACGCAGCCGATCCAACAATGTCTGCAAACGCAACGGCAGAGCTACGGCGGTGGCTGCCACGTTGGTCGCACGCAAAGCTTCCGGGGTAAGCTGTGTGGGGGAACCGCGCAGGAAGAGCGCGATCGCGCACAGCACATAGGACCAGAGATAAAGGCCTGGAGGCGTGGTGATCTTGGGATCCCAATGCGTCCACTTATGAGCCCAGTAGGCCTGAGCCTGGGGGACATGGAAGGCCTCATCCAGATACGGTTCGGGAACGACGGCATTGATCCTCATCATCCAAAAGGGGATCAACAGCAGAACAAAAGGAATGGCGTAGCGGGCGGCCAAAGCCACGCCCGACTTGGGTTGCGCATTCATGTCGGTCAATGCTTAGGCAGGAGGTCAACCATGCTCTCGACAATTGAAGTGTGAAAGAGGAGAAGAAGAATAGATCAATTGATTCTAAAAGACACGAGCGGAAATGCAAGCTTGCAATGCAAACCGAACAAACACCGCATCGGGCAATCGACGCCCATCGCGATTGAATTTGAATGAACAACTTCAAGCTCCCCTTCTTTCATTCGGTCGCAAAGTAACTCCGGGGCATGGAATACTCTCCTCCGACTGCCCCGACACGTCCCTAACTCCTTTTTCCCCGGCCAATCCACGCGCAAACGCGAGGGTCAATGGCCTTTCCCCTCCCGCGGGGCATCACGCCCCCGGAGATCTCCTTCCTCGCGGAGATGGAGATGGTCACTATTTTGCCTCGTCAGCGACTCGAGGGGCTTGAATTACTAGGAGTACGACCTATACAAATCATCCTACCCTACTAATCACAACTAATAACTCCTCCTCAAATAGGGCCCCGTCTCCCCCCTCCTCCCACCCCGACGCACCTCCCTCCCCCTCTGGCTCGCCCTCCTCCTCAAACGCCAACGCCGCGCCAACATCCTCCCCCCGCCCTGGCTCCACCCCGAATCTCTCGAACTCATCCTCGAAATCGAGACCCAAAACGACGAATACCAGCACGCTTTTTCCCCGCCGCCTCCACTGCCCGGCCAGCCCGCCCCAGGCGATCACCGTCGCGCTCCGCTCGCGACACCGCGCTACACCCCCTCCGGCGAGAAATACTACCCTGCGCCGCCTTTCTTGCCTCAAAATACAGCACGCGATCATATCCCGCCGGGGGAGCCGCCGGCACTACCGTTTCATTGGTTGGAGGTAGGGACGATGTTGCTGGAGGC